ATTTCACAACTATCACTTCGAGGATTTGTGTACGTACTGGTTATAGCTTTATAAAAAAAATATGTTACCGCATCGCAACCCTTTAGGAATTATCGTCCATTTAGTCTTACTATAAGTTGGAGGTGATTTTCTGGATAATCTAAGAAGTAGAAAAAGTTATTCTCTAATCATCTTGTTTAACTGGGTTTGACATGGTTTCTCTCTCCAAAAACTTCTTTATTAAGTCTTTTGGGTATATTTAAAGACGCCGTTAAACAGGCAATATATGGTATCGCAATCCCTAGTGATAACTTGGCCTTTTCAAAGATCAGTACTGTTGTTGAAAGATTACATACAAACCTTTTGAAGCTTAATGAAAAATTTTAATTGAAAACCATTTCCGACATGTTGTGGAAATTGACAAAACAGTTTTTAACCAGGAAAAGGAATGTAAAAATGTCCTATAATGAATAGCGAAGAGGCCGCCTACACCTACACTGAAAATTTAACGCCTTTGCTAAAATTTTGTTCCAAGATACACGACACCAGTACTGAAGGTGAAGAACACAAACTCAGATAGAACTTTACCTAACCGCTTGTTTACCGCTCTTCAGGCCCATCATCCATTTGGAGGCTAGCGTAGGTCCCAATTATATTTTGATAAAAACTCTTAAAAACCTAATGCTTACTGCAATTAAGTACCCTGCAAAAGCTCTATAATTAACTTTTTGGTTATAGCTATTTCCTTTATGAAAACAGACTGAATTAGTTTTTAAACCTAAACACTTAGCCCAAGCCAATACACTAAATATTATCCTCCATAAGCTAACTTATCTGCCTAGGAAAAGTCGCAGAACATGTGCTCCTCCCAAGGTTGCAAAAATGTATTAAGGATGAAGCTTTATTCCAGTTAATTAGTTTGGTTTTGAAAAGTCATTATACCACTCAACAAATCTCTAGGTTGTGGAAAACGCCGATAAGAACCTCGGCTACCAAATGCGTAGTCTTAGTCTTTTTTAGACATTTGTATAAGAGTGTCCTTACCATCAATTTATAAAAGGTAAAGAACCATCACAGATATAAGTGGGTTCTGCGGTTGGCAAGAGATTGTTAAAAGGGGTAACCAATGCCCCCAAAAAAGGGAAGGCGTGAATACTTGGCGTGCAAACTCATGGCTTCCTAGATTTAATTGTGTGTGTTTCCATTAGACTATGGTGACTAGAGGCTTCAGTCCCTTGGTGTTGTCGCAAGTTAATTTAGTGAACTTCATCTTGCTTTTCTCTTTTTGTGTTATGTGAAAGGGATGATAGTTAATCTGTAGGAGCTAAGCTTTTAAGAACTGGAAAAAACACGTTAAAATCCTTTGAAAAGTTATGATTATAGGTATTACATCCATAATAAGTAGAGCGCAATTTTTTTGTGTTTGCTAAGTATAAGTCATATTTTAGCAATAGATCTTTTATGGCCCCTGTAAGAACAGAATTATAGATTGACAAACAAAATGGAAATTAAGCGTTACTTTCTTGAAGTGCCAGCCACTAAGGTGTCGAGTCCTAACAACTCCGCAGAATCTCTGCTATCACTCATACCAGCCTTAAATACATAAAATACTATCTAATTTAGCTTTTCTGATAGGTAGGCATACTATTTAGTTATAACCCTATAATAACATATTAAGCATTTTAGCTAAAACAAGTATTATATATTTTGTAATTTACTAAGCGCCCTCATTTAATATTTGAATCCTACTGGTTGAGTAGCACATCATCCTTTTTAATTTGAGAACTTCGTTAGCAAGTCGTGATCTTTGCAGTGGTAAGTGAATTCGTGGCTCCAGTTAAAAATCTGGATGAGCGAAGGAGGACTAGAGCTCAGAGTAATCCAAATTTGTTGACTCGACCAAGCGCCAAAATAAGTCATTTATCAAACTTAATATTCAAATTGTTTTTAATACACGATATTATAAGCAATAAAGATTTTATAAGTTTCGTAGTTGTAAATAGCACGTTTTGATGTGCGCGTATTCAGCATAATTAACCGTTTAGTAGAAAGTCAGATTTTCCACAGTCTTGTTGTAAGGCCACCTTTGATCTCCTAAGTTCTATTTCTTTGTTTCCCATGAAACTTCTAATTTCTGATCGACTTTTTTTTCAGTGTGTTCTCTTCTTAACCTTTTTATTGTCCAGCTATTTACCCTTTTGTCGGCGTTTGTTATTTTTATTGAGCCTTAGGTTCTAAAAAGTCTTCTTCAAGGACAACTTGCTTGCTGTGTTTTGTTAACTGTCACTTTTACAGGTTTACTACTTTTCGAGAACTATTTATCGTGAATAACCAAATAAGAATAATTTAGGTTATCATAAATCCATATACTCTTAAATATTTAAGCTTCCTGAAGAGCACAACATGCCCCACTCGATCAAATCAAACAATATTAAATATACACGAGCTCTCCGCCAGCAGTTAGTAGCAGACCGGGCCGAGGGTACCCGTAATTCTGTCGAGGAAATAGCATAACTGAACTGAGGAATAACGGAGGTAATACTTGGCGCTGGCTCTCTCCCTTTGGGGGGCGGAAAACCGCTAAGTAGCCTTGAGTATTAAGCCCTAGCCCCCGGAGTATTGCTGCTGGCCCCTTCCCTCGTGCGGGCCACTTCCTTTTAATACACTTATTACAGATGTACCCTCGACGCTGAACATTTTGACTAGAGATATTTTAGTAGATTCATTGTCACATCCACTTTAGGAGTATAATATAGTGTTTAAAAGTTGAAGATTTTATAAGCATTCTAACATGAGAATACTATACATATTTTGATAAATAAATTAACTTTTATTTATTGGTCAATGAAATAATTAAATAAGGGCACTCTAACAGGTTAAATATGTAAATTCGTTACACCCGGGATTAAGAGCTGTTGTGGCGACTTGGCGATTAAGAGCATTAAAGCACATACTCAAGGCCGCGTTGGACTCTATTCCCACCGACCGACTATCTTTTGCGTCTTTGATGGCCGCGTACTTTGAGATAATAACAACCCAATTAAGGCTAATTTACAGAATACATAATAGTTACCATATATGGAATTATAATGCACATTGGCCTAATACAAATTAAATATTGGAATTATTTCTCAGACAAAGATTCCATTCCAGAAGAGGTTAATCCTAATTTGGAATATCAAAGGCGGTTTACTATTTGAACCTAGGACAAGCTCTTAATAGATAGAGGATTCCCCTCATTGCGCCTTCACCTTTTGACTAGTCTATTGCTACTGTTTCTATTATTTTTTTTTTTTATTTTTATAATAAATAAATTTTTATCTATTCTTTCCTCTATGAGAGATATATTTTAACATATTTAACCTCGTTCTCTTAAATTATAGTACACATTAGCGTAATTAAAGAAAAACAAATTAATGTTATCTTTTTATTACTAAAGATGGTGCAAACCTAACGTAACATTATGCCTACTAGTAATTAGTAAAACTGCTTATAAAATTTTATAACTTATCTCTACTGAGGCAGTTATTAATTGTTAGTATTTAAAACAGGGGAGGCATACTTGAGATCTTATCATTCGTCATCAGGGCATTACCAAAATAAACATACTCATCTAATACGGAATATTTTTTAAACGATAAATACTTTTCGAGAAAAGACGGAATTCTGGTGAGCGGTTTTAAAAATAATAAAAGCACAAAATTACTTGTCAGTCCAAAATTGTCAGTAAAGCAAGGTAAAATGAAGCTTGAACCTCTCTAAACGAGACGGACTTCTTGGTAGAAAATTATGAAGTAATAATAAAAATTTTGAAGGTGCAGACATTACTGTCAACGTGATACCATAAAAAGTAAAACCATTTTTATTTGTCATGGTTTGAGCAAAAAGACTTTTATCCTTGTGTTACTAAAACTATAACAACTGAATGAAATATAATGGAAAAAATAAACCAAAACTCTTTCGTTTAATTATATTGCACTCTACCTAACGGATATTATTTTAGGCGAGTACGTAGTTTCAAGCTTCCTTAGTACTTCTTGCATTCCGCATATAATTATCATTTAATCATTTAAACTGGCTCTTATATTATATGTTCACGTAAGGCACCTCTTATAATTTACCTTTTATTAGCTACACGTTTATTTTTAACTTATTATTGAAGTCATTGTAACTAAAAGTTTTAGCTTACAGTTGCGTTATAGAGTAATATTCTAAATCTTCTATGGTCCCTCAAACAAAGAAAAAAATTTTTTAAATAGCAGAGCGGCCACGTACACCTTAAAAACCAGCTTATTTATTTATAAAAGTAATATAACTTTTAATATGGCCAGGCAGGCCTCAGGCAACGTACAACACTTCGGTTTTGATAGAAACTAATATTTAATGTGTAATATATTTTCTGGTTTTTAATTTATTATCTGTACGAGCTCCACTAAAAAATTTATAGGGTTTTAAAAGAGACTAGTGCTCTTTTAAAACATAATATTACTTAAGTAAATTGAGAAAAGTCGCATTGGCGGGGGACAAACTTAAAATCAAGTTAAGAGAATTCTCCACCCAAGGTACCACACTTTTGTCGTTTAATTGCAATTTTTTAGAAATGTTTTATTATATATTTATAATATTTAAGGAAATAGTGCTAAAATTTTAAATCTCAGTTGATTGCAATGTCCTAAGTAATACAACGAATAAATATTTTTTTAAGCCAGTAAAAGGAATGTATTTCGTATATAGAGGCGGTACCATTAGATATACTCTACTTGCGTTGCAGTACTAACAAACGATGGTCTTTTAGTAGTATATAAAATATTTCTTTTAAATAGAGATGACAATATTTCTTTTTTACAAATATTGTTAACTTAATTTGTCTTTGATGAATTCAAAAGATATGTATGGGTACGTCAAGTTTTACGCCGTCGCAAAATATTGGAAAACCACAAAGTTGACCTTGGCGTAGCTTGGTCTCAGCCTAGGTTAAATATGCCTGGTGTTTTACGGGGGACGACTGGGGCTTGGCTGTCCTCATTCTTCTAGTTTCGGGTTGAAGTTATCATAATGGAGATATGCCTTCTTATACAAACCACTTACAGCTTCAGGGGTTTTTATTAGTTAAACTCGGCTCGTTATAAAAACGTGTTGTCTTCTGTTGTTAAAATAGTACTTTAAAATTTCTTTGCTAAGTCTACACGAGACTTGAAAATTTTATTTCCTTTAATAACAATCTTTCAACAATTTTTTTAAAAAACTTTAAAGGCCTTGTAGTTATTTAGATTTTTTTTTTAGATGACACGATATCAAAAAAAAAATTTGTTGCGAAACTGGTCAACGACCTGTCCGAACTGCTTGCAGTTTCTAAAACTATAATCAGCGTTCTTCTACAAACTGAGCAATGTATATATTTAGGTAAAGTTATTAATATTATACATTTTTGGCTCATAAAACTTTAACAATTTTTTTTTTTGAAACTGCTAAAATATACTGAAAAATTTATATAAACAAATAAAGGGCCTGCTCACGAAGGATTTTTTTGCGTAATAACCTAAATGTTAAAAATGAAAATTATGAACCACAACATTAAACATTATTTATATTATTATTATTATTCTTTAAAGCGGCTTCGATTTTGGGTTGGATGAAAGATATAATTTTTAACCTTAAACAGGTGAAACCGAGGAAAACGCAACGTTTGTGGAATTTTTTTCAACTAAGAAATTTCTTGATCTTAGAAAGAAACTTGAACTAGAAAATTTTATGGAAATTTTTTTAATTTCACATTTTGGGAAGGAATTTGAAGGTTTACTTAAACACTTTTAAGTCATTTTAAGTTTTAAGTTAACCTTTTTTTCTATAGGAAACTGTCGAATGAAATTTTTGGTTGACTTCTTTTCTTTTGATGAGTTTATTAGTATATTTTCTTCTATTTTATATTTAACGTCTCCTTTTATTAAGTTTGAGAATTTTTGCATGTAGGTTATTTTTTAAATTTAATAAAGTAGGCTATACAAAATATCTTTGACGCGCTTGTTTATTTCTAGCGTTCACGTTATTTATAAAGACCTTTTATAAGCTTTAATTTTTTTAGAAAATTAATTAATAATTAAAGTTTTATTAATCTTTATAAAGGTTAAAATGAAAAAATATATAAAATTTCTTAATTTTTCTTAATTTAATTATAAATCAATAAATTAATTATAAAAGAAAGTTAAAAAGTTTTAATTTTATTTATTCTTAGTGAAGTGGACTCTATATATCATCTCAATGTATATTATTAAGTTCATTTATTGGTAATTATATTATAAAAATATAATTTATTAAGTTGGTTTACGTTAATTTATAGAGAAGTTTTTATTTTGAATAATATGTATATATTAAAAATTGAAATACTCATTATACATGATTTACTTATTTTTTGTATGTTTCATTATTTTTTAGTTTAAATATTTAATCTATACTTAACTAGATCGAGCGTTTTTAAAGTTATTACAATGGCGCGAATTTATTAAACTTTCTTTTTAATTTTTTTAGCTAACAAATTAATAATTTTTTATATTTAATTTATTAAAAATTCGAACTTGTTTTTAATACATATTTAATTTTTAAGGCTTGAAGACGCAAGAAGAAAAGATCCCCCTCGCTTCCATTTCCAGACAAACGAGACTATTAACTGATTCAGTTTCACCAGCACATAACCGTAACAAAGATCTTCTGAAAAACATTTTCCCCCAACAAGAATTAATTTTGCCGCCGGAAGATAACATTCCGCAAGAAATCACAACTCCTATGAAAAAAGTTCATAATAAAGGCGATAAAAGTTATTCGGGTTCAAAACGTACCACATGCTCGATTTGTAAATCACGGAAAACGACAACAGTTTGTTCTGCTTGCCCTGGTAAAGACTTTATATTCGCTCTTTTCTGCAAATAATTAGTTTTAAGAACCTTTTATATTTAATTTTTTTTTTAAATGTAGAGTTTAATTTTAAAACAAGGTAGAGCGAAAATTCCGTATTAAATTTTTTGAAAGTTGAAAGGTTTATAAAATTAGCTTTAAGGCGATCTTAGTTAATTTCGTTCTGCCAACTGTCTTTTTGGTATGGAGACTGTTAAAAAAAATTATTATTTCTGGCGGTATTAATAATTAATTTTTTAAAAAACTTAGCAACGTGACTTCTTTTTACCTTAAAACTCTACATTATTTAGAAACTCTTGAGTTTTTTAATAATTTTAAGAAATTAATAATATATATTTATTTTGTTAAGAGTTTTGAAAAAAAAAAAAATTTAATTTTGATTTTTAATCGTAGAGATCAGCGTGTGTAACACAATTCGTCAAAAAAGCACGTGTTTTTTAAAGCATTTGGAAATGGTTCATCCGTTATCCGTCGAAAAATATAAACAAACGAAAATTTAATATTAGCGGCGCAATAATTATGCCACATTTTGCACTATATCGCTAAAGAATAAAATTTTATTTATAAGTTTAACTATATTTTATTATTATTATATTTTAAGCTTTATTATAGAAATTATGTTTTAGGGCTCAGAATATATTTATGTTTACTTCTCAAAGCATAGGAGCGTTACTGGCAAAAAATGGTTGTTTTTAATTTAGTTCCAAAAATAAATAAATTCCCTTTCTTTAGTTTTTATGATATCATGCGTTCTCTGTTGTTTTATCCTTTTAAAATTTAGCTTAACTGTATAAGAATTTTTTAAACAACTAATTATTACCTAATTGAAACTTTAACTTTTCTTTTATAAAATTATGTACTATAAGTAATTATAAAGTTGTAGCCTGTTTTGTTTATTGATAGGCATATACTCAGTAAAAAGTTTTATTTGAGCTACATACTTGTCTATTTTTATAAAAAATATACTTAGAAAAGATCATCAGAGCAAAAATTACGGGCAGCCGGCCTTTAATTTACTTTGATGACCTATACAATGTTAATGACCTGAAGACGGTCTTTACAAAGTTCATGTACCTCTTTAGTGTAAATAAGTTAACATTTTACATTAATTATATAAAAGCTAACTTTACTTAAAAGAGTAGCGATAAGAATAGACATAACACTGGTAATATCTTAGATAAAACACAATAGCAATTCTATGACACCAAAACTTGCCGATAACTATTGGTTAGCGACTTAAAAACTAGTAAAGTGACTAAAATCGGAAGAAAACGTTGATGTAAAAAAAACGAACACAGTTTCTTATAATAGTTAAACTATTTAATAAAACGCGTTATTAAATAATTCTTTATATAGTATCCTGCATAACTGAGTTATAAAAAGCTAGAAATGAAGATTGCTTGTTTTTATGGAACAAGGTTTAGTCTTGTATAAAGCAAAAAAATGCAGTTTTACCACCCGTCCGGTAAGTTTGACCGTAGCGCAACTTTTTAAAGAGGGCATGCTTATCATAATAAGTTTACGGGAGTTTACTCGGTAGCTCATAATTAAGTGTTCGTGTTTCAATTAGTTAAAAGTTTGAGTTCCTTTACATTCGTAATTTTAGTTAACGTTTAACTTAATAAAATGGTCTACCTTCAGTTTTATAAAAAAGTTTGTTACTAGCCTTAAAAACTAAAAATGGTAAGAAGCGTCTTTTTAAAGCGAGAAAGTTTCGGTTTTATAGTCGACCAATTCTTTAAATAGTATTGTAAAAGTCATATGAATCTTTATAACACTATAATCAACTTACATCTCCAATGCGATAAAAGGAATGAAAAATAACAGTTCAAATTGCATTTTTATATATTAAAAATTGTTTTCCGCATAATTATTGAGGTTGAGAGCAAGGTTTTACAGTTCCCAAACAAAATACGACGCTACTAACTGGTAACGAACCAAAGATATAACGTTTCTTTTAATAATTTAGTGTTATTAAACCAGATGAAAGAATTTTTAATAACATATTTATATAACTTTATTTCAAACAAAATCAGAACAGATCCAAGGAGGAACGAAAACTGGCGGTTAGGATACTAAACTCACTAACGACTGGGATTAATATAGAAGAAAGTTAAGTTTACCATTGCTATAAGTTAGCAGTAAACGCATAGATCCACGCATAACCATAAGAACTACTTAAAAGGGAGCTGGAAATGCATTTAAAAGAAGAATAAAGGCGCGGGTCCCTTGCCGTGGTTTGTACCTCGGCTACTTTTTACTCACAGCTAAGAGACTTGCCAAAGCTTTTTATAATATCATATATTATTTATTATTAATTTTTTTTTTGTCTAAATTTGCTTGTCTACGTTCTATCTGTTTTAAAAAATTAGGCCCTCTACTGAAGAAGAGCTGCGATCTTGAAAGCTAACTTATTAGCTGTCAATGAATAACCAGAAGAGAGTTAGACTCACCAGAAATTAAACTTAATGAGCACATAAAAAATACTCAGGAAAAACTAAAGTCTAAGAGACGAAAGGAGCCTGTTGTGATGACGTCTGGTAATGTTTACTTGGCTTTACTAATTCTAGATCAGCCACGGACTTTTAAAATATTAAAAGAAAGCAAGAACTTAGAGTCAACCAAAAAAGAAACTCTTAACGGTTAAGTTTTAGTAGTAATAGTATTTGGTATTGCTTTAGTATTAATTCCCCGCCTTGATAGCGTTTCAATTAATACTATAGCCCAGAGCGACGTACTACTAGTATAAATAATTTATATAGTGGTAAAAATTTTAGTAATAATCATGTTTGGTAAAATAACCTATAATAGTTTAAATAAGAGCCGTGAGAGTAGTACAATCTGCGGAGACTTGGAAAAGTTCGTAAAAGTTACATCATAGCGTAGACGTCGAGATGGATAGTGTCTCCGGCGCTGCTCCTAAGAAAAAATGACCGATCGAATGAAACGGGATCTCGTAAAAGAGAGATCCCTCCTATAACCCTTTGCGGAAAACAAAAGTGCCCCTTACTAATTCAACATTTGCAAACTAACGGCGTGATTATTCCACAGTCAAGAGCGGCCAGCCTTGGAGGATATTTCCAATGACAGCTAACGTTGACCGCTCTGTAACAGCGATCATGCGAGCTCAGGAATTCAATTATCCTTTACATATCAACTACCTGAAGACAAGCCACAGAGTTATTTTGGATTTGGGGCACATTTAAGGCGAACTTGATATCTCCACTGTCGAGGTGGATCTGCGCACGCAAGGTATCACACCCCTCCGAGTGACACAGATGCACGCGGATGACACTGACGAAGGTGAGCGGAATAAGTGACCGTTTACCATTAGTGCTGGTGCATGTGCCCAGAACGGAGCGACAAAACTTTTAAAGGTGAAGATTATTTCCCCTATTCAGATCTAAAATAGAAAAACTTCGAAAGAGCAGTCGCGTTGGTCAGTGCCACCGCTGCTAAAGCTTTTAACCACGCTGCAAGCTGTTGTGCTGCGGCTCCTCGATGCGTTAAATGTGGAGAAAGCCACTTGACAGCGCCATTCACGAAAGCACGAGATATACCTGCTACTTGTGCAAAAAAAAAAAAAAATGCAGTGAAGCGCACTACCGCTAATTATCAAGGCTGCAAATACTAACCGCAGAAGGGCAGCCAACCGACCCGCAAAGTACACTTTGTCTTAAAACACTACAAACATATTAATTACCGTTTACCCCCGGGGGTCTCTTACGGGTCTCGTTTGAGGACTAAACCGCCTCAAGTCTCATCCACTGTTCCGTTAATTTCTAAAGCTCCTGGCTGCGTTTCCACAGCGGAAAAAAAATAATTAAGCAACAGCAATAACCATAGCCGGTAGTACGGCAGTTGTTAGTCATTTTAACGACGAATTTATCCAGCTTGTTTGAAACTGTGAAAGGACTCGAATCTGGTTGCAACGGTTTCTAAATCAAAGACGCGCCGCTATATTCGATTATTATTCTGGAGAGAGAATGGTGTTTAGAGCAAGAAGCTGCGAGCTTGAGGAGCTGCTGCTACGAGAAAGAGCTGATGTGTGCGCCTTCGAACGAGAGCAACTTTTCCTTTCCAACGTCGCATTTAACCTGTAACAACTTTGTTACGTCTGCGTTAGGGCTGGGTCGATGCTCGCGGTGGGAGCGCGGCTGTCTTGGTACAACGGTGCATTCTACATCGCACGATATCTCTGCCAGTTCCACAAGGTCTCAAGGCGGTGGGGACTTCCCTATGTAGGACCGAACCATGGGCGCGTGTCTGTCATCGCTGTCTACCACTTCCCTTGGAAGCCTATTACCGCCTGCCCTCCGAATTTGGAGGCCATCTTTGCGAGTGACTTCTCTGCTGTTTTTGTGCGGGGATCTCATTTGCAAACACCTTTGATGGAACAGTCGAACCGCTAACTCGAATGGTCCACATACCTTGAGGCCTATGCTGATGAGCACGGGCTGTGTGTGCTAAGTCCCCAGCAACCAATAAATTTGGGGACTACAGACACAATGGAATGTACTAAATACCGCCATCAACTAGAAGTTTTACGCTTTTACAACGGCAATTGAAGCGCTCCACGAGTGCTATCCTCCGATCACCTTCCAGTTATTCTGGAATAGGCGACGAGAAGACACACACCGAAAGTCTATCACCCGCATTTTTACGAACTGGGACAAATATGCTGAGTTTTTAGAAACCACTATCCCGCCGTGTCCGCCATTACCGTCCACGCCACCCTGCTGAATGATTGCTGTTGTCCATTTCGAAACCGCGCTGAACATGGCTCACCCAACCTCCACGTCAACTCGTAAAGTGACGTGCCCCCCCCCCAACCTCTTCCCTCCCATGCGCCCCCTATCGCCTGCCTAACATCCAAAGGCACTTATTTGCCAACGTCGAAGTCTTCGAAGTCTTATTCGAATAGCCATGTTTGTCGCAGGGCGTCGAAGACAAACTTTCGCTTAATCGACTTTACAGGTGTATTAAAAAAAGGCTAATGGCCCATTTTAACAATAAATGGAAGAGCACGCTGCATAGTACATCAGAATCAGGCGGTAGCAGTCGCTTCTTCTTTTGGAAATTTGTTAAAAGGATCCAAATAAATCGGGGGCTTGCACCACTATCGCCCCTTCGTGAAGAATACATAGTGGTCGAGAATGATGATGATAAAGCTGCGCTTTTTGCCAACGCGTGCTTACTATCCAAAAGGTACCCAGCTGCTCACTTAACTGCTAATGGTGATGCCTTCCCTCCGCTGAGCTTTACCCCTTACCGTTAACTACGAACCCCTTAATCTCGCTAATGCTGACGAGATGCACGCAAATTGTCGAAGCGCTACCTAAACAAAAAGCGCTACCTAAACAAAAAGCGCCTGGTCCCAATGGCATCATTCATGGGATGCGGAATAAAATGCCATTAATAGGGAGACGCACTATTTTTATATATCTTTATCTCCTTATAAAATCTTCGATGCACCTTGGCGCCTTACCGGTTGGAAGGAAGACGGCGATCGATGTGATGCTACCAAAAACACTTAAGCCGGAATCACCATCTAGCAAGTTACCGACCCATCAGTCTACTGTCAGCGACTGGCAAACAGAGAGAGACTCGTTTTTATTGCCCCGTCTTAAAGAGGCCCTTGAACGCTCGGAAAAGCTTTTCCGGAGTTTTTTTTCAGTTTGGATTCCGGAAAGGGCACTCAACGAACCCAGCGGCTTCTCCACTTAACTGGACCACTCGTGCTTTTAACCGATAAGAAGGTCACAGGCGCTGTCTTTCATGACGTTGAAAAGGTATTTTAATCAAATTTTTCGCATGAAGGTCAGCTGCACCAACTGCACTCGTTATCCATCCCTCATAGCCTTTATATAACGTGCTGAAATCATTTCTGAAATAGTCGCGCCTTCCGCGTGCGCGTGGGAGATACCCGGTCACCGCTTCGATCTATGACAGCGGCGGCCCCTCAGAGGTCGCTTCTCTCGCCCCTGTCATTTGCAATTTACAAGAGCGACGTGCCCTTGCCGCTCGGTCCATCCACACGAAAATCGCCCTCTAGGCTGATGATACGACCGCATGTGCCACTTCGAAGTCACCCGCCTTGCTATGCAAGCGTCTGCAGCGCTATCTTGCGCTCTTGCCTGTCTGGTGCCGTGCTTGGAAGGTTGTTACTCTAACTGCGATGAAGAGCAAAGCTATATATTAATTTCAAAGAAACGTGTCTCTTTGTCGGTGGCCTTAACCTTTAATGGCGTGAAGGTTCCATGGTGTTCTCAAGCGAAATACCTGGGCGTCATCATCATCATCCACAACAAATTTATTTTTCCTGACGGACCCACGTGGGCTATGTAGTGGCGAAGGTCAAGGTAGCAATTAAGGCGCTTTATCCTTTACTTTGCAGCAAGAGCACGCTTTCTCTGTGATACAAACGGCAATTGTATATTTGTCTTACATCCAGCCAATAATGATAATATATGCGTCTACGTCTGCTGCTTAGGACCTACGGCCCCACTGCGGTAGCGTTTGGCACTACTTCAAGTACGACAGGACAAAATTGCTGCGTGCTCTGACAAAGGCGCCGTGGTTTGTGACAAATGATGCTCTTCGCCGGGGCCTTCAGCTGGGCCCTTTAACACAGTGTCATTCCAACGCCGTGCTGTGATCCTTTATGACAGGCTCCCCCGACACACTAATCGCCTGCTGGTGAGCGGGCTCATTCACGGGCCATGGGGGACGGGGCACGTTATCGCAGCCCACGTGACGCGCTTAAGCACGTTTTCTTTTTTCTCTTGCTTCTGTAAAAAAATCATGATTTCCCAGGATGCTATTTGTACCCTGTCTCTCGATTGAGAGCTCGAGTATTCGAAGTTTCTAACTCGATCGAGAATCAGGGACCATCATTAATAAATAAATAATAAATAAATTTAAAAGAAATTCAATAAAAAAGTTAATTCACGGGGCCTTAATAGTTCGTGGTAATTTTATTTCCCATATATCGCTACGCCCTTTCTCGGTGGTAAATCATCTTTAATTTGTGTATCTTCGGCTAAATTAGTAAACTTGTTTCGCTAGTTTAACTGCATGTATTAAGGGTTGTAAAACTCGTAACTGATATAAATAATTAAATACACTGACATAATTTACAGTGAACCACGAAAACAGCGGAATAACGAGGAGAGAATACTTTAAACATATTTAACGATCTTAAACAATGTTTAAAAAACCTAACTTTGCATAATCTTAAACTGGATTTACTAAATTTATTGTAAATGTGCTTAAACCGACTTGATAGATATAATCATAAATACACCATAGAACTTGGTAGTTTCACTCATAGACCCTACGATAAATTGTCTATCTTATCCAATCTTATTTTATTTCATCTCTACAATTGCGAAAAGGCGAGCATCTGTGAGCCATCACGGCTGCGCCGAAGCTAGTGCAGAAAGGATGGTTTCCATCGAGACCTTTATTTAAATTTCCACCAATGTTTTCGCATCTGTCTGTGTCAACGGCCAGTAGAGCGTTGGTAGGCGAAGTTCATTTACCACCAGTTATACTGCACACGCTATTATCACCACGTGATACGATATAAATTTTTGTTGTAATTTAAATAAGTTAGGGTCCAAAGCTTATAAATATATAGAGACCAAATAGTGAAAAAATACTATCAATTAGTCTAAGGTTATATGTACTCTTTTATATTTTTATAAAGCTCATATAATCAAAGTTTGCCAAGCTTTAAGAAATGCCATTTATTAATTAATTGAAAAGATTAAAGGAAAGAATGTCATGCTGTCCGAAGTACTAATTTGAGGCATGCCACCGTCTCACTATAGATATAGAAAATAACTTTTGAAGAAAAATTCTTTTGGTTTGTATATTTTTAATGCCGATAGTTATCGGTTTTGAAGGGAGCGCTAACAAGCTTGGTGTTGGCATTATTAAAGATAATGCTATTTTAGCAAACATGCGTCTAACGTTTGTCTCTCTAAATATAAAACTAAAAAACTTTCAAGTTTTATTAGCTTTTTAATATTGTCTTCCTATTCAATTTTTTATTTATTTATTTAAAATTTATATTTACCGACTTATTATTATCAATTAATTAATACTTTTTATGAAAGGTACATAACTCCTCCGGGGGAAGGTTTTCAACCTAGAAATGTAGCTAAGCATCACAGGAAAAAAGTACTACAATTAACTAAGGAATGCTTAACTCAAGCTGGTCTAAAACCAAAAGTTTAAATATGTATTTGATAATATTACTATTTTTACTTTTTATATAGTTATTATTAAATTTTTAGGACTTGGATTGTTTAGCTTATACTAAAGGCCCAGGCATGGGGGGCCCATTAGTTTCTGTTGCGGTGGTTGTCCGTACTTTAAGCCAACTATGGAAGAGGCCGATAGTAGCTGTTAATCATTGCATTGGACGTATTTTCTTCCTATTTAATTATATTTTATATTTTATATATATATTTTTTTTTGGCATTCCTAGCTCTTATTTTTGCTTTTAGTTTATCCCGTTCTCGATATTAAGAGCCCCAAAAGTTTATGTTTTTTTATAATTCTATTCTTTTTAGATTATATGTTATGCACTTTAGAGTGCTATTAAAAATGAAAATTATTAGAACATTTATAGTAATGTCTTACTTTTTATATTTTATATTTTTATAAGACATTGAAATGGGAAGAAAAGTTACTGGAGCTCTTAATCCAATAATATTATATGTTTCTGGAGGAAACACACAAGTATAGCAGAAAACTTTTGTTATTATTTTTTTAAGTTACCGTTTTTATTTTGTTTAAAAGTTATCAATAAATAAGATTTTTTAGGGGTGGGGGGCTTTACAATTATTGTTACTTTTTTTTTTAACGAATTTTATTTCGTTGTATAATTTAGGTTATTTCCTATTCAAAAAGTCGTTATCGTATTTTTGGAGAGACAATTGACATCGCCGTTGGGAATTGTTTGGACCGATTTGCTCGGATCTTACGATTATCCAACGATCCATCTCCGGGCTTCAATATTGAACAGGAAGCTAAAAAGTTTCTGTACTTTTATAATTATCTATTATTTGAAATCAGCTTCTAAGAAACAAACTTTTTTTTTAATTTTTAGCTCTTTATTTACTCGAGATCAGTTATTTATATATCACAAAGTTTTTTAATGTTTGGTCAGTGCTTAAATTGTTTGAGATCAGTTTTTATTCTAAATAGTATTTTTGTTTAGCTAATTTTCTTAATTGTTTTTAAAAATCTTTTTTTTCATAATAGTTTTCATTACTTGAGATTGGCAATTACAAAGTTGCATCTTTTACCTAACAAAGTTTCTTTTATTGTTTAAATTGTAATTTTTTCAAAAAGCTCTTTTATTTTGTTAATTTATAATTATTTGAGATTAACTTTATAAAATCGCAAATGTTTTTTAAGAGTTTATTTATTCTTTTAATCTTCTATTATTTAAGCTCATCTATTAAAGAAATAACAAAGTTTTTTTCAAAAGTTTATTTATTTTTTCTTTCTTGTTATATTCCAGCCCAGCTATTAAAAGTTGCAGAGTTGTCCTATTTTTACTTATCATGTTGCTTGTTAAATTTTGAAATCTTTTTTGTCTCATTTTGTATTAATTTAAAATAAATTTTTAAATATTGATAACTTTTGAGTTTTCGTTACTTTTAACTTGATCTTCCACTTACGGATTTTTTTACTGAGGAATTTTTCCTAAGTTCGAACGAATCTTTTTATGTTCTTTTTTTAATTCAGGAAATAATTATTATGGCATTTTTTATAATTTTAATATTCATTACAATAATAAAACTATATTTTAAGATAATATCAAATCAGTTATTTTTTTGGTAATTTGAATATTTTATATTTACATTTTTAAATTTTTAAATAAGCTGGGTTTTCCAGTGGAGCTTATCTGCTCAACGAAAGCTTTGAAAATTTTATCAAACATGCTATTTATTATTAATTATAATTAATTTTTTCGTGCAGTAGCAATTTTATTTAATTTTTTTGTGTTAAGTGAAGATTTTTTTATTACTATATACGAACTTAATTTCTTTTAATTTTATAAAATAATTATTTTTTTTCTTTTTTCCAATTTTTATTGAAATTATTTAAATTTTAAATTGTTTTTAACATTTTCTTTTAATTTATGTTTGTTTTTTTATTTTCCTTTTTTTAATGTTTATTAAAAACTTGAACTTTTACACTCAAAATATTTTTTTGTCCATTCTTTTTAGAAACTAGAAGAAACTTTTATTTTTGTTATTTGATTAAGCAAATTTTTTTGCATATAAAGTAAACCTTCTTATTATATTTTCAACATGAAATCATTTCTTTTTTAAAAAATATATAAAAAATTTTTTTTTACCATATAATTATATTATTTTCATATTCCTTAATTTATATTTTTTCGTTTTTTATATTCTCAAATTATTATTTTTTATTATAAAAGCATCTTTTTAAAGAAATTTTTTGTTGCATAATTAAATATATGGATATCTTTTAAAAAAGTTTGTCTTTTGTTTTAAGTTTATTAATATTTATAACTTTTGGATTTACTAGAAATGTATAGTTATAATAACTTTTTAAAGAAGTATAAGATTTTAATTTTACACCATTTATCAAATATTTTTGCAAATTTTATACTGCTAAAATAAAATTTTAAAGTAATTTTTAATATTTTTATAAGTTTACAGGATCTTTTTTATATGTGTTGATTTATATTTGCTTATTTTTAGTTGGTTTATAGTTTACTGATTAATTAATTAATTGTACCTTCCCTGTTTTTGAATATATTTTTGAATAGTTATTAACCTAAACTTAATCATTGATATATAATATGGTTATTTACTAATTTCTAAGTTAAATATTTTGTTTTATATAATAATGAGGAGTAATTTTTTCAGAAAGTAACTTTTTTAATGGTGATTATTTTATATAATAACTATATTATAGAGTATATTCTTTTTTTATTATTAGAAAATTACTTACAAAAAACTTTAGGGGTAAAGTTTTAGTTGATCTGCCGTACACCGTGAAAGGCATGGACGTCTCCTTCTCTGGAATTTTGTCTTACGTGGAAGCAAAATATAAAAAACTTATCGAAAGTTTTTTTTTACTTTTTAATAATTTTTTATTTGTTATTTAAATCTGTTTTTTTTTACTATATGAACTGATTTCATTAATCCATTAATAACTTTTATTGAAACTGTCACTCTTATTTTTGTAATATTTTTGTAATATTTTATAGAGTGAATTTATATAAAATTAATGAATTATTCACCAGAATTATAATAAATTAACTTTTTATTAAAGCATCCGAGATATCAGTTGCGGATCTTTGCTTTTCTTTACAAGAAACCGTCTTTGCGATGCTTGTTGAGGTTACGGAGA